CCCGCCCCCGCGGGGCCCCCCCCCCCGCCGTGAGGATGAGGCGCTGCTCCGGCCTTCCCCCACTGTGAGGATGAGCGCTGCTCCGGCCTTCCCCCACTGTGAGGATGAGCGCTGCTCCGGCCTTCCTCCGTGGTGAGGATGAGCGCTGCTCCGGCCTTCCTCCGCGGTGAGGATGAGCGCTGCTCCGGCCTTCCTCCGCTTACTCCACGCCAGGGGCCGGGCACCAAGGGAAGGACTCCCCTTCCTGAGCTTCCTGTTCGCTTAAGGGCATCGCACTGGAACATATATCGACTCAGCCAACGATAATGGCATAACTGTATCTAATTTTATAAATTGTTTGCAGAGGAACCTATAAAAAGCTATTTTCTATTTTCAAAAGCTCCTATCTTAAAGCATCCAGCCTAGACTGGGATTTCCCCCACAAGAGACATCCAGAATTGCTTGGCATGTAGCTGAAGAAAGCGCTAGCAGGAAAGCTTTACATCACCAGTGGCACCACACGGCACAGTATGCAGTGACTTAATATACAACACATACAGTATGTCATCTCCAAAGGCACTTCCTGTACATATGTAGCTATTTCAGTGCACAGTTTTATCCCATGTAATCTGGATATTTGAAGATAAGTTAACAATATATTTTTCATCACTATCTTTTATATATTTCAGTAAGTCAGTTAAAGATAGCTTCCTTAGGAAGGCAATAATCCAAAAACTTGCTCCTCCTTGGCACGTTTTAGACGGTCAAGTCCAAAAGAGAAAAAGAGACTTCTAGATGCAAAATGCATCTAGAAAAAAATTTACTGACATTTTAAACAAATCATCACACTGTTAGTGTCCTTTCTTGAGAAATAAAAAACGCAAGCTTGTGTTAGGAAACAAACTGAACAAACAAAATGTGTTATTTTAAAACATCTTAAATGAGAAAAAACAGTCAATATCATTTTTATAACTTAGGAATACTCCACGTACCATCTTAACTAAAGGGAAAAAAAAGACATTTCTATTAACTGTTCTCATCTACGTGACAATGGAAAGAATTTAAGTTGATTTACTTGGGAGCTATACATTTATATATTTATACATTTATTAAAAAGTGCTTAGACAAAGAGGTAGGTACTTTTCTTTGAAGAAATATGCGCTGATAAAATTTAAATAAACAAACAGATACTTTGGCTAAGGCTTTGCATACTCTTACTCACTGACTCCAAGCCAAATTAAAATCATTAGGACTTCAAAAAGCAAGCTAATCATTCAGGAAAGGTGGAATCTGGTGTTTACTAGCCACATATTTTCTGATCCTCTTGCATGCAACTCTTATCACTGCACAATATGGGTGAATTGAACCCAGATACATTCCCAGGTGGTTGTACCTGTGGAACTTGACGCAGAAAAGCCAGGGAAGCTGCTAGTTTGCAAAATCAGATTGGCGAAGCAATTATGGAGGACACACAAAAGAGCACGGGACTTGAAACCAGACCGTGATTTCCTCATAAACTTTAGCACAGATGTTTGAGAGTCGAAGATTTTAGAGAAATCATTTTTCAGTTCCTCCATCTGACCATTTGCAAAATAGATAAAATAAAGCCTCATAATCATGCTGTGGGTGTTAACTGTCTGCGAAATATTTAGACATCCCAGAGTAAAACAAAATAAACACTAAAACTATACAACCCCAAAGGGCTTGTATGGAAACCAGGGCCATATTCGCCACTTGCCCTGCACTGACAGCCTCTTTTTATGTCCTCTGCACTGTCTTTGCCCATTTTGTAGTTAGACCCTTACAGCTTCAACAGCATCTTCCCAAGTGGAAGAATAACTCCTATAGTAAAATATTTACCAAGTGAGATGTTGGCAGCCGTGCAAGAGTGCATGCAGGAAAATTCTTGCTCAGAGGAGTTCACTCCCCTCCTTATACACGGTGAGGCTGATCTTTACTCACATCTGTCCAAATTATCTTTACTCAAGCAGCACTGTTGAGACATTTTATGTTCTATCAGTACTTAAACACTATGCTGCCCTTGAGTAAAATCCCTGTGCCATCTAACCCCACTCCATCGAATGTTTTGAGTTGAACAGTCAGGGGCAGTGACTGCTCCTCACAGGCATGTAATTTTCAGGAGGGCAAGCACCATGCTGGGCAGGAGGCGAAGGAGATCTGAACAGCACTTGGATGTGGAGGCCCAGAGCAGCAGAGAAAGAGCGGAATTAAAAACATCGGGTGGAGCTGAGAAACAGAAAAGGAGCGATTTGGAGTTGAGTGACCTGCAAAAGCAATCATGAAAACACAGCACTAGCCACATCAATGTGTTGTTTATGTAAACACTTGCTAGCATAGAAGAGCTATTTGCTTACACCACCAAAAGGCAAATGAACTAAAACTGCATCAAGTTTGGCTACCACAAGGTAGTGGGGTCTATTTTTGCCCCAGGTGTATTCTATCAAAAAAATCTACTCTAAGCTCTCCGAACCCCCAAACTGCAGTATTTCCATTCCATAATCTCAGGACAAATTCAGTAAAGGGAAAAGAGGGGAGTGCTCTGTAATTAATGAAATAATAGCACAACAAAGCCAAAGGATCCCCAGCAAATACAGACTTCCTAGCAAAGCCAAGTATCTATAGTCCCATTAGGCTAAGTGACTTTACATAAATAAAGCTCACGTTATTCATATCCAGAATTCTTCCCTCAGCAAGATTAGTTTAGACATTCAATATATGCTGGCATTTGTGCGTGACTTAAAAAGAAAAAAGACAAAAAAAAAGACAAAACAGTGAAAAAAAGAAATCAGAGATTCATTTTACAAAGAAAAGAAGAGAAAAACAGGTCAGTGAAGGCAAAAGAAGAATATATTCTACAGAGATGGCCCAAATTTCTTCACAGGCTGCAGGACCAGGGCAGTACCTATTCTCTCTGGGGAATCCTGTAAATATCTATGCCGTTCTGCTACAAAGGACTTCTGAAAAGCAAACATTCACTTTGTAAGTGAATCTAGTATTGTTTTGGTG